ACACACACACACACACACACACACACACACACACACACACCATGGAGTATTACTCGGCAATCAAAAAGAATGAAATCTTGCCATTTGCAACTACATGGATGGAACTGGAGAGTATTACGCTAAGTGAAATTAGTCAGAGAAAGAGAAAAATCATATGACTTCACTCATATGAGGACTTTAAGAGACAAAACAGATGAACATAAGGGAAGGGAAACAAAAATAATATAAAAACAGGGAGGGGGACAAAACAGAAGAGACTCATAAATATGGAGAACAAACTGAGGGTTTCGGGAAGGGTTGTGGGAGGGGGGATGGGCTAAATGGGTAAGGGGCACTAAGGAATCTACTCCTGAAATCATTGTTGCACTATATGCTAACTAATTTGGATTTAAATTTAAAGAAATAAAAAATAAAACAAGTTAAAATTAAAAAAAATAAAATGAAATAAAAAGTAATTGGAAGCAAATATGACAAAATGTTAGAGCTGATGATTCTGGTGGGTAGTAAAATGGGAGGCAGTGATTTTAATCTTTCTACTGCTCTGTAAGTTTCTCAAAATATTAATCAGAACAGCAGGTCATGATAGAACTTCAATTCTATTTAGCCGGAGAATAAATCTTACAGTGTCTTATGTACTTTGGCATTATATAAAGGTCCACCAAAGGACAATAAGCCTTTTTAATTTGTTTGGATCGGAACAAGTATTGTGACTCTCTTCCCTAACTTGAGAGCTGAATATAAGCTTGTAGGCCTTACAATCTTCTATTATAATGAGGTACAAGGTCTCGATTGTACATCTTTTTTAAGTTTCATTTTTTGATTGTACATTTAACTCCATAAATATTTACTAGTAAAAGCTTTCAAAGCACAGTATCATTTTATTTAAAGTCTTAGAGCATAAGAACCCCATGAAACTATCATAGGAAATGAAACATTAATTTTATCTGGTACATCTATAGCATTTGTATTAGTTACATGTTACTTTGCCATTTTGTCATAAACCTAGACTTTTCTTAAACGAACTATTTTCACTGCATTGGGCTCTAAACCATTCCTGCACTTAGCCTTTGTTTTAATTGTCTTTTTGGTTATCTTTCAAAAAGGGATAAAAGGAATCTGCCATTTACACCTATTTTAGCATCAGTGAATCGCCTTATTCGTTATCACCTTGGTACTGTGGCAAAAGGATCTTTCATTATCACATTAGTCAAAATTCCACGAATGATCCTTATGTACATTCACAGTCAGCTCAAAGGAAAGGTAAGGAGAAAATTCTTTTCTGGACTTAACTGTGGTCACATTCTAGACCTCAGCTCTGCCTGTAGTAAAGCTCCCAACCATGTTCAGTTCATAGTTGTGAATGTTTTCTTCATAATCCTTGCAGAGTAGAATCCAGTCCTTCTGCCTTGTCCCACACTCTTGCTTACGTTGTGCTCTGGCAAAATCCATCATATTCCTGGTTTCCCAAAATGTCCTGTGCTTCTCGCCCTCTGTGTTGATTCACACCTTCCTCCCTGGAACCTCTTCCCTATCCCTGGCTGTGGAGATAACATGCATTTCAACATGGGTTAGATGATATGCCACCTCTTCCTAGAAACCTTTCTTGATTCTTCCTTCTCCCAGATGATGTCATCTCTCTCTGTTCTCCACTCTCATAGTATCAATCGCATATTCTGATTCTGACCTTTTTTTATGTTTAGCTTTTTTTTCTTCAACTATAGTATAAGTTCCTTGCCGATCTCATGTATCATACTCTATCTTACATGCAATAGGTACTAAATATGTGTCAAATTAAATTGATTAAAAATAATTTAACCATTACATTTTGAGGGAAAAGAGGGTAGGTGGGTATGGAGGTCTTGAAACATAGATTGTGATTTTTTTTTACTTTATTTATTTTTCTAACATTTAGAATATTCTGTATGTTGGTTTTTAATTATTTCAATTTTTTGTCCTTTCCAGGAGAATGCTTGTGCTCGATGTGTGCTGAAATCTTGCATTTGTTGCCTTTGGTGTCTTGAAAAGTGCCTAAATTATTTAAATCAGGTAAAGTATTTTAAAAATAAATTGAACATTCACTTTCAAAGATAGGTTGATCATTTCTTCTTCCAAGATAAAATAATTGAGCTTAACTGAAAGATGTTATATATTTCTCATGGTGTTGTACATTGTTCCTTGATCAGGTATATCTATTTCTATCATATTCTTTTATTTATTGATTGGTAGATTGATTGATTTGAGAGAGCGTGCACACATGCATGTAAGCAGGGGAGGGGCAGAGGGAGAGAGAATCTTAAGTAGGCTCCACACTCGGTAGAGAGCCTGGGATTATGACCTGAGCCAAAAATCAAGAGTCGGATGCTTAACTGACTAAGCCACCCAGGCACCCCATATTCCTATTTTTAAAAGTAACATATGTTCTTAGCAAGGCTCGTTATTAATTAATTGTAACATGAGGATAAAATATTATTAGGGTTCATCTTTCTGGAAGAACATTTATCTCTTATACCTTAATTTACATCCTTTCATCTTTGATTTTCCCTAAGAATCTGTCTACTCTAGCCATGTTTCTTTAATTCTTTTAAATGTCGTTTGAGAGGCGCCCGGCTGGCTCGGTCAATAGAGTGTGTGACTCTCAGCCTCGGAATTGTGAGTTCAAGTTCCACATTGGGCATGGAGCCTACTTTTAAAAAATGATTGAATGAATGAATGAATGAATGAATGCTGTTGAATGCTTTAGTTTAGTGGAAAGACATTATGACATTTAAACTCATTTTTTGCTGCTGTCTACTATTGTTCAAAGCTAGTGTCCTCCCTATCCTGGTACTTTTTTGGGAGTCCAACTGCTTGAGGACTATGATCCTGGCCTAGGAGATATTATCAGAGGAAGAGCTATCATTTCTCAGGTTAAGTGAAGGAATTGGTATTATGGGTTAACATTTCTTAGGGAGCAGGTTGGTCCTCTGTCGTTCTGTGTCTGGGCACCTGGGACTTGCTATGAAGCACTCTACCCATGTTTCCTTCATCTTCCTTTTTTTTTTTTTTTTAACCACTTCTCTCCATTCCTTAAAAATCAGTTGTGATGTACCAGTGCCCTCATCTAATAGAGCAAGGATACAAATGGACTTCTTACCATTTACCCCTCAGTGATTGAAGAGTAGCATTGCACTTTCCATTCACTCAAGGACAGTCAAAAGATGGTAGTCCTGTTGGCCATGGTGTTGAGCTTGCCTAGAGTTTGCTTTATTGCAGCTCTATGGTTAATATGAAAAAACTGGCATGACATTTCATTAGTAAAAGAAGTTCTTGTAGATAATAATACTGTATGGATGGAAAGTGTTTGGAAAGTCATTATTAAAATAATCAGTAACAGCCATGGAAATCTGAAAAATTAACGTTCTTTAAAATTTGGTTTGGAACCAAGTCACCCTTATCAAAAAGTTGATGGATGAATAAAAATAATCATCGTTACATTGTGTACCCATCACTAAATAGCTTATCCACAGAGAGAGATGCTGAACCCAGCTCTCTATTATCAGTTTCTACCAGCTTTCCACAGGCAACTTTTGCTCTCCCAATTTCCTAAACCTGCCTGGAGTGACTTCCTTCCAACACTTGAATAACTCCTACTGATCCTTAATGATTCTGCCTGAGCATTACCTCCACGAAGTCTCCCCTCAGTACCCCATCCCCTCTGCTGAACTTTCGTAGTGCTGGTTCATACCTCTGCAAAAACACTAAGAACATCAACATGGAAATTGTCTGTTTACCTCTTTATCTCCACCTTCAGACCTTTAGCTCCTTAAAGGCAGAGATCCTATTTTTGTCTCTCCAGAAACTATCACAGTGCCTGGTACACAATAGGTGGTCTTTAAATGTTTTCTGAATGAATTGTTAATCAGTGAATAAATATTCAGATTTTAAAAGACTAATTGGTTGATATAAAGCCAGAAGAAAGCATCTCAAAAAAGAGGTGTGCAGTTATGTTGAAGGAAGAGAACACATCACATGATGTTAAGATGTTCAGTAACCAGGTGAAAAATTCCAAAGTTTTCAGCTAATCCCAAGCTAAACGTTAGTTAGCAATTTAGTACCTACAGTCCTGAAACATATCCGAACTTCAAGTTGTTCTTTCTTGCACAGGTTTTTGTGATTTATTTATTTATTTACTTATTTATTTATATTTTTGAGAGAGAGAGTGTGTGTGTATGTGTGTGTGTGAGAGAGAGAGAGAGCAGGGGAGGGGCAGAGACAGAGAGGGAGATAGAATCTGAAGCAAGCTCCAGGTTCTGAGCTGTCAGCCCAGAGCCCAGTGCAGGGCTTGAAGTCGTGAACCACGAGATCATGACCTGAGGCAAAGTCAGATGCCTAACCAACTGAGCCACCCAGGCATCCTGGTTTTTGTGCATTTTTAATCTTCTTTAGGTAGGTCTGATGTTTGAAGATTCAAGAGAAGCACTAAAAGAGGAATAAATAAATGAGTGAAGGTTTAGGGAGAGTGATTCTGAACTAATACTTAGTTCTGTTTGGGAATATGAAATGCTCTGATATGAGGACTGATTACCCAGGGTGCTTCATGTCTCCTGTTTTCACAGGAATTTCACTCTAAATGAGGTCAACATATTGAAGACATTAGAACACTTCCTCCCATGACAGGTTAAGCATAGGTATTGGTTGCCAGTGGAATTTTTTTAAACCCTTGTTGCTGTGGAATGTTTCAGAGCTGGGTGGGCACCCATCTGTTTGAAGTATTCAAGATGATAGGAATCATGGCAGTGCTGAATAGATGAGATCTAGGGACTTTTCTGAAATTTGAAAAACCAGCAGGGTCTAAGAGTCTGATCTGCTGGTGTTTGAAGGGGCATTCTTCTCAGTGCTGCCCTGTACATTTGGCAGTTATGAGATTAGTGCTTTGCTAGAGATCAAGCCAGAGCTGGCACTGAGATATCAGGCGGTTCACACCATCCCTTTTGTCTCTGCTACTTATCACTGCTTTCAGAAAATGAAGTTCCATACACATAGGATTGAGTCCACACTGTATAGCCTTGTTGGAGAAGGCACAGTGGATAATTAGGAGGATATTCAGTGGAGAGAGCCCAGATATTAAAGGTGTGTTTCAATCCTAACAATGTAACTGTTTGGCAAGCTCAGTGAAACCTTGGAGTCTCGGCTTCTTTCTTCAGTGAGTGGAGAAAAATACACCTATCCTCATAGGCTTTAAGTAAGGATGAAATATAATGCAGATAAATCAACTCTTACAGTGCCTGGCTCTTGGTCCTCACTTAGTGTTATCGCTCTCCCCCGCTCCCCTCATTTTATTGTTTTATAAAGAACTCCCAGGGTTTTACTCTAAGATAAGAGAGCTCTGGCCAAGATAAAACAAGAGGTTGTTCTAAAGATGTATCTATTTTCTCTAAAAATAAATGTAATGTAAAACACTGAGGAGCTTGTAAAACCAAGACAAAACAAAACATCACCCATGATCTCACCATGCTAACATAACAGTTACTTTTACTGAAATATTTACTATTAGCTTTCAGAAAAAGTTTCTAATTTTTCACTGCAGCATGGTAATGGCTTATCAGACTTTAGTTGTAGACTGTTTTATCAGTGGATAAACCTCAATTGTAAAATGGTGGTAATAATAGTATCTGTAGTGCCCATTACCAGGAGGATACAGAAAGATGGTATCTCCCATACTCTGAGTATGCACCTGACACAGCAAGTCCTCTGTAATGCCAACTGTTCTGTAGTATAGAATAGTTCTATATAGTATGGAATAAGTTCTAGATGTTCGGGGTTGGTTTCTTTTACATTTTTTAATATGCACTGGTTTTTATTTTTCTCTTGTCGGGTCTTTCAAACTTTTTTTTATGGTTTTGCACTTGACTTTGATGCTTAGAAAGATTTTCCCCACCTCAAGATCAAATAATTATTCTAGCGCTCTTCTCTATAGTTTTTTAGACGTTTACTCTTTTTTTTTTTTTTTTTTTTTTTTTTTTTTTTTTTTTTTTTTGATAAAGAGGCTCCATGTCCAACGTGGGTTTTGAACTCATGATGCTGCAACCCCAATATCAAGAGTCACACATGCTCTACCAACTGAGCCAGCCAGGTGCCCTACTTTTTTAGTTTTGGGATTTAATCAGTTATCCCAGAACCAGTTAATGATTAACCTGTTCTTCCTTCTGCTGTGAAATGTCAATCTGATCATGTATTAAATTCTTACCTATCATGCTTGAGTATGTCTCAGGACTTTCTTTTCTGTACCATTGATCTGCCTATGCTTTTATCAGTATGCCAATATTTAGTTACTATAGCTTCATTATATACCCCAGGTGTCTTATAATACAAATCCCTCTCATTCTAATTTTTCAAAAATTTCTTGTCTAATCACCTGTTCATCTTCTGAAATTATCTTTGTACTGTTCAATAAGATACAGCAAAACAATAATACTAATTATAATGCCAGCCAGTATTTACTGAGCACTTACAGGCACTGTGGCTCACACTTTATTGGCTGTGGCTCCCATTTAGAGATCTGTTTTGTCTAACCATTTGGCAATGGTTAACACTTAGTTAATGCCCGTTTGCATTGTTTTCCTCCTATCCTCTCTTTTGCTGTCGCTCCTGAGATCAGCATACAACTTGAAGTCAAAAGCCTTGAGCAGAGCTGGACAACACAAACTGTCTGGGCCAGTTGAGACGTATCACGTGACTCATGGAAATGAGTGCAGCAGACAGGGTCTAAGGCAATAGAGAGTGGCAGAGACTGGTTAAATGGGGAGTTCATATTCTATCCAAAGAGGGCTGTCCCTTCTTAGCTCTTGTACACTTGCCAACGTGAAGATTTATAGACAGTTTCTAACTCTTCCAATTTTTCAAGAGAAGCCAGAATTCTGGATGTTTGCATTTTATGTCCTGCTATTAAAATATATATACATACATATATATATATTAAAAAAAGATAAGTGAGTGGGCCAGGGCAAATAAGGTCTTTGGGCCACACAGTGTCATTTGTCCATGGGCCGCCAGTTTGTCGCAGTGCT